GCTTCCAAAGTAACCTCCGCTGCTGAGGGGGGGGCCTAGGCTCAGTAATATTGCAGACAGGGCTGTAAATTTGCTTTTAGAGGCGCCCCCTATTCGAATCTAGCCTTCCATTCAGGCCAGCTCTCCTCCCAGGCCAGCTTAGTAATGGAAGTCAACAAGGTGCCTTCCCTACACCTCCCTTATGTCGTCTCTCCCAGTAACCCATGTGAACAGATAGCTAGATCTGGGCCTCAAATACCTGGCCAGGCCTTAATGCCCACCTGATTATTATCAAGCCCCTCCAATCAGTTTCTGTTTGTCTCTCAGTGGGAAAACTTCCTCATAGCTTGGACAGTACCTTTCTTAGTTCCTCTAATAAAGACACTCCTTTGTTTGGGACTCTGAATATTTAATCTACTTGTTGGATTTGTTTTCTCCAGCATGAAGCAACAAAATTCTAGATGGGCATGCACATGAAACCTCAGGTGGAAGTAGTTTCTGCAAGCTGGCACTGCAGCCCCCTCAAGAGGCCACCTCCTGTTGGAAGCTTGTCTTGACTACCATTCCCTGTTCTGATCCTACTCAGCCTGAAGAAGCTAAAGTGGCCATCGGCCCACACCCCGAACAGAAGTTAGGGCCATTCTTGTTGGGGAGGGAATGTGAGGAGTCAGATGGATCAGTAGACAGACAGGTTAGTCCCAGCAGAAAATGAGGGAAGAGGAGTCCTCCTAAGAGCATGCAAAATGCTTGCTTCCCCCAAAAGTTATTTTTAGCAAGATCAAAGTTCTGAATCACACCGCACGTTTCTCCCCAAAACAAAAGTGCTTGTCTACTCCTGGGGAGCTTCCACTTTCGTCATGAGAATAGCAAAGGAGTGGTGATTCCACCCTTCTGAGCTCTCAGTTTACTTGGAAAAATTATCAGGAGCAATTATCAGGTGTTTTGATGGGTTTTTCCTCTGCCTTGTAACTAATGGTTAGCTAATTTTCAGGTTTTTTCCCCAAAACTGTGCTTCCACCACCAGCCCCTGCAGTATCCCTCTCTTCAAGCCCCCTCCCAGCCACTTTGGCAGGAGGTTTCTGACTTAAATAAATCTTAGTTTCTTTCAAAAAAAAAAAAAAAAAAAAGGAAAGTAATTGTGGTGTGTATATATAAAGTGGAATACTATTCAGCCATAAAAAGAATCAGATCTTATCTTTTGCAACAAAATGGAAGTAACTGGAGACCATTAGACTTAGTGAACTAAGCCAGTCCCAAAAAGACAAATATCATGTTTTCTCAGATTTGTGGTAATTGATATACAGAGTACAAAAAAATATATACATGAGTTAATTGACATCTTGAGATCTGATTATTGTTTAGAGCCCTCACATATACTCCTGAAGAATGGTGGTCTTTTATTTACTACCTGTTAAATTCTCTATGTAGTGGAGGATTAGCTTGTTGATTATAAAGTAAATTGAAAGTATGCCATCACAACCATTAAAAGGAAAGTAAGAAAGAAAGAGGAAGGAAGGTGGGAGGGATGGAGAAAAGGAGAAGGCACGTATCCTTATGTTCTTAAAACTGTCGATATGAAATATATGGAGTCTGTTATATTTAAATAAATAAACAAATTTTCTTTAAAAAGAAGTCATCTTGTAGCAGCCATACTCTAAACCTATGAACTGAGTTAAGCATTCATCTACTACAGCACAAAAAGCAATGTGGGGATCAGTTAACACTGAGCAAACGATTGCTGAGTGAAAAAGAACACTCTTTAAAGGTCAAAAAGCCTGAATTCATGCATTACATGAAAATTTGCAAAGAGCACCAAGACTGACTGAAGAAAACATGGTTTCCAGAGGCCCTGGAGAATTGTGTGGCCCCTGGGGAACTTGAGGCACATCACTGCTGGCTTGACACAGCTGGGTTTTTTTTTTTGTTTTTTTTTTTGTTGTTGTTGTTGTTTTTTGACAGGCAGAGTGGACAGTGAGAGAGAGAAAGGTCTTCCTTTGCCGTTGGTTCACCCTCCAATGGCCGCCGCGGCCGGCGCGCTGCGGCCGGCGCACCGCGCTGATCCAAAGCCAGGAGCCAGGTGCTTCACCTGGTCTCCCATGGGGTGCAGGGCCCAAGGACTTGGGCCATCCTCCACTGCACTCCCGGGCCATAGCAGAGAGCTGGCCTGGAAGAGGGGCAACTGGGACAGAATCCAGCGCCCCGACCGGGATTAGAACCCGGTGTGCCGGCACCGCAAGGTGGAGGATTAGCCTATTGAGCCACAGCGCCGGCCGACACAGCTGTTTTTAATACAACAGTTGGACTGATCAGTAACCTGCTCACCGCCTAGCAAGCCTGCGTGCTCCAGCAGACTTTCTCTTGAGATTTTTGCAGGAGACAGCTTCAAATGTTTCCCAGGAATAATATTCTACTCTCTATTAACCTCGTTAGGCAGTTAATAGAAAAAAATCACATTCACAACTTAATACTTTAAGACCAATTTTAAAAAGTTACCTTGGTCATCTAAAACAGTAGGAATATAGGCTTTGAGGGCCACAGTCTTTGCCTCTCCGTAGCTTTGTAACCATGATAGTTAACATCCCCAACTTTCAGCTCCCCCATCTGTAAAGTGGGGGGAATCATGGAATCATAGCATAGACCTCACAGGGCTATTGTGAAGAGGAAATCCGATGTCACCTGGAACGTCTAGTCAGTACTGCAAATATGCCAGGCTGCAATGTGGTGTGCGAAGTCTTTCCTGGAGTGGTGACTGAAAGGAGCAAAAGGCAATAGTCTGCATTCCTAATTCTGAGAACTTCTAGATAAAAAGCCAGCTCCCTTCCCACCCAGTCTGCGCTACAGCTGCCTCCCTCCCCTATAAGAAGGTGATGGGTCTCTAGGGATCACAGTTTTGGAGAGGTAAAATATTCCAGCATTTCCTCACCTAGAAAATGATGGCGAAAACCCGCATGAAAACTGAAGGGTTTTAGCCCAGTGAGACAGTGCATCAGTGGTCAGGATCATTAACTTGCCTTGGAAGGAAGAACACTGGCCGGTGATGGGCTAGTGGTTTGGCCAGGCAGGGGGGAAAGCAAACCCCCTTTAGTTCAGGTTACTAAGATGTGCAGAAGATGGATCCGGCTTGAGAACTAGGATCCTGGAATGCACAGGAGACTACAGGATATAGACTGGCTGCAAACCAGTGAAGGACAGAGCAGCCTCTGATGTGTAGGGCTGTTGGCTTCCTTCCAACTTACATGTTTTTAATAAGTATGTCTTTATCTTTTTATAATTTTTCTAATATATATCCTTTCTAAACATATGAATTACAAAAAAAGAATGAGTCATCTGTATTTTACCATCCAGATATATGCCTACTAATCTTTTTTTTTTTTTTTGACAGGCAGAGTTAGACAGTGAGAGAGAGAGAGAGAGAGAGAGAGAGAGAGAGAGAGAGAAAGGTCTTCCTTCTGTTGGTTCACCCCCTAAGTGGCTGCTACGGCCGGTGCGCTGCACTGATCCAAAGCCAGGAGCCAGGTGCTTCCTCCTGGTCTCCCATGCAGGTGCAGGGCCCAAGCACTTGGGCCATCCTCCACTGCCTTCCCGGGCCACAGCAGAGAGCTGGACTGGAAGAGGAGCAACTGGAACAGAATCCGGTGCCCCAACCGGGACTAGAACCCGGGGTGCCGGGGCTGCAGGCGGAGGATTAGCCTAGTGAGCTGCGACGCCAGCCGCCTATTAATCTTTGATATATAGTCTTCCTTTTTAATTCATCTGAAGATAATTGTCTTTAAAAATATTGGGGATGGCATTGTGGCAGAAAGGGTTAATCTGCCCCCTTCGATGCCAGCAATCCTTGTGGCTGCAGGTTCAAACCTGGCTGCTCCACTTCCCATCTAGCTCCCTGCTGATGCACCTAGGAAAGCAGTGGAGGATGGCACAAGTGCTTGGTACCCTCTATACCCATGTGGGAAACCCAGATGAAGCTCCTGGCTCCTGGCTTAGGCCTGGCCCAGCCCTGGCTGTTGCAGCCATTTGGCAGTGAGCCAGAAAACGGAAGATCTCCCTCTCTGTAACTCTACCTTTCAAATAAATAAACCTTTTCAAAAAGTGTCAAATAACCCAAACTTTCATAAACTTTTTTTTCCCATTTTTAGCATCTAGGAGATTGTCTGGCATACATAGGTTTTCAATAAATTTTGAAGAAATGAAATTATTTCCATGGCACTAAATATTTTTCTGTGATCTCATTTTTAACAGTTGCATGGAATTCGATTGTTTGAGTTGTAATCATTCAACCAGGCCCTGGAGAGCTGCAGAGGAGTAAGGATTGAGGAGGACTCAGAGAAGCCCATGCAGTCCCCCTGCAAGGGGGGACTTGTTGCCCAGCTGCTGGGATTAATGGAAGCCTCCAGCCCCCTCTGCTCAGCCCCTTTCAGGAGTCACCTCTGCTGCATAAAGCTGCCTTCCCAAGACGTGACCCAAATCTAAGGACAGAACATGGAGGGGTCCAGTGCAAGACAACTCTGATGGGCCATCTTCCTCCAGAGTTTCCCAGAGGCTTGTCTGAGGGTGTTTCAGTCTATGGCAGCTCACCTTGCTCTTGCTCAACCCTGTTTCTCCTCTCACTTCCATGGGTGTTCATCTCCAGGTACTTCCTAATAAACACACTGCACACTAAACCCTATCTCAGAGTCTGCCCCTGAAGAATCTAACCTATGACAAAGATGGTCCTGACCCTTCAGGAACTCCTGAGTATTGACTAAAATAAAGACTAACACTATTGCCATTCCCCATCCATAGTACCAGGTTAAATAAGCCTTGGTGCATATATTCTGTGATATGCTATAAAGCCATCAGCAATCATGTTCTTGGTGCTGTGTGTGACACATGTGGTTCCAGAGGGGGGGGGGGGGAGGAAAGATAGGGGAGCGGAGGGGAGGAGAGAAGGGGAAGGGGAGAGGAGGGGTGGAGAAGAGAGGGAAGTGTAGGGGAGGGGAGGGGAAGGGAGAGGGGAGGGATTGCACATCAGAGATAATCACTTGAGCCCACTCCCTTTGCCAGAATTCCCACCAATCTGTTCCAGATCTCCTGCTCCTTATTAGTCTTTGCACCCCTACAGTGTGAGCACTGCTTGGGCAGTTACTATCCCTGTAAATAACGGCATGTGCAAGTTATAAACTAAACCTGCCCAGGTAAGTATGGATCAGCAGCATTATGTGCAGTCAGGACAAACAGCTCGTTTAACACACAAAAGCAGAAGTAAGGATCGAGTCACCCTAATAAAAACAAATCAAATCAATCAAACCAAAACCCCTGCATTTGTAATACGGTAATGTGTTGACGTAGGAGGAATCGGAGAAGTGCTAAGCCCTGTCCAGGTGCTTCCCTCCATCAGTCGCACTCGAGGAAGCAGCAGCAGGCTGCTGACAGGGCTTGCTGGTACTCCCTGCCTCTGCAGGGCGGGCTCAGGCAGTAGGAGGCCCAGCCCCTGGGAGATGCCGCCTCCCTGGTCCTGAAGGCTCAAACACTTGCTGCGGGGCAGGGAAGCATCCGGGGCTGCTGCAGGCTGCAGAGTGGGCCGGGCAGCCAGAAAGAAGAAGAGGAAGAAAGGATTTTGTAAGTAAGCTGATTTCATTACGCAGGGAAGCTGACTGTACTCTCAGTGTTTGTGCTACTTTCCCGGGCTGGAAGTTAGCAGTCTGAGAGGGGAAGGGGGAGAAGCTACAATCTTGATGAATGGAGTCTGTCATTTTTAAATTTAGGATATAGTCACTGTTCTCTTCTCTTTAATCCTGAGCCATACAAATTGATTCCTTACAACTTTGGACACCATTGTCCTGTGCTCAGAACTTAGATTAAGTTTCTGGAGCTGTTAGTTGGCCATCCTGATGCCAACATCTAATTTCTCCACAGAAAGACCAACAAAATTCAGGAACTCTGGGAAACGCTGTATTTCTTTTTTATTTTTTTTTAAGATTTATTTATTTATTTGAAAGTCAGAGTTACACAGAGAGACAAGGAGAGGGAGTGAGAGAGAGAGGTCTTCCATCCGATGGTTCACTCCCCAATTGACCACAACAGGCGGAGTTGCACCCATCTGAAGCCAGGAGCCAGCAGCTTCCTCCGGGTCTTCTCATGTGGATGCAGGGACCCAAGGACTTGGGCCATCTTCTACTGCTTTCCCAGACCATAGCAGAGAGCTGGATCAGAAGTGGAACTGCCGGGTCCCGAACCGGAGCCCACATGGGATGCCACCACTGCAGGCACAGCACCAGCCCCAACCTTGTATCTCTCGATTAAATCTCAGAAAAACACCTTTAGAGACCCCTGATTTTCTTGAGTCAGAAAGGCAAAGAAAATTTAAGGAAACTGGTCATATTCCATCTTAATATTCTGCCCCATAGCCTAGCAGGAAGTTCCCTGGTGTTCTAGTTAGAAATATCTTGGTCTTGCCAACTCATAAGATCCATGGGACAACTTACTCAGTTGTCAGTTCTCTGCACATAGTTCTGCTCAGTATGTGTGTCAGTTAAAGTCAACAGATCTGCTTTAATGACCCAGTATGATTTTTACATGGTTCATTTTCACTCTTCACCCATTAGGTGAGCCATCAGAATCCAAAAGTCCTAAATATATTTTTACTATAATATTTTTATATAAAATACAAGTGAATTTTCAAATAATGCTAATATTTTATCTCTTATTCATGTTTATAAATTTAAACTCCACTTCTAATTTTAAATATTTTTGACACATGAGAATTTTATTAATTTTAATGTCTTTCTTCAATAATGACAGTGTTTATTGACTATTTCTTGCTTTGGAATTGCTAAGCACAGAAGAAAAAATTCAGGTTTCATATATCTATGTTTCAGTTTATATACAAAACTTAGGTTAATGTAGTTCTCAAATCTTGTGAAGAAATTATTTTTTTCATTAACTTTCTCGGTGAGGAGGAAACTTTCTTATATTGCTTTCTGCTACAACAGTGATTTGCTTTCTGCTAGACTAGGCTTAAAAATCTTCCCAGTTTTTTAATTACCTGGGAAAAACCACAGACTTTTACATACAAAGGGACCCTTAGACATCATTTAGTCAACAAAACAAAATTTCTTTTTAACATTCCTGCTTACCTTCTTAACCAGAGCAAATGTCAGTCGGCCCTAATGTGCTGCACCCTGATCTGGAATCAGCCTGATAGCCACTCAGGCTGCCCACCACCCTGATGGGCCATTGTTCTGCAGCTCGGACAGAGACCACAGTTGTAAGCAGTGACCCTCCTCTCACCTGGCCCAAGGACTGTCCATCATATTCTCGCCCTGCGGTCTAGGTGTGCTGCTGGCTCTGCCCACACCTGAGAGCCCTGAGCACCTGCCTGTAGTCCTTGATTTCAGGTGTGGATGACTGCAATCATCACAGGGAGCCCCAGAAACCCGGAGCAGTGCTGCCCAGAATTTTCTATAATGAAAAGGTTCTAGACAATAGCTACTACCATAGCACTGTGGCTATGGAATGGTTTGAAATGTGGCTAGTGCAGCTGAAAAACTGAATTTTTACTTTTATTGAATCAAGTTCATTTGACTCTAAATCACTGCACACAGCTGCTGGCTACCACAACAGTTAATGCAGGGTTCGAGCTTTCAAGTGAGAAAAACTGACGGGTGCAGAAGCTGTGGGATCACAGGAGTGAGAAGCAGCTCCTCTTTTCATCACTGCCAGGGACTCAGTTTACTTCAAATTTAGGCAGAGTTGCAATTGTCCTGATCCTAAAATTCCTCACCCATCTTACACCTCTCTCTCAACTCAATAACTGTCTACTCTGTCGTCCTGAGTTTCAAAGTCAAGGCTAAGGCAATAGCATATTGTGTTTCTTGGGTTTCTACCTCTCCTTTTTCTCCTCTTTTCTTTTTCTTCTTTTGTTAATCCAGATTTTGATAACATGAGCTGGAGTTTGAGGTGTGGCTTGTATATTCTCTGTTGCAACAAGCTTGAGTGAGGAAAAGAGGTTATGAACTTGAAAAAAAAATCATCTTGTGCTTGGTAGGAGATTCTCATTTCTTTTTTTTTTTTCTTCTGCTCTGAAAAATCAGGTTGTTTAGCGAGCAACTGTTTTTAGAACTCTTCAATGTGTCTGGAAACATGAACACTAAGTATATGAATAATTTTTATAAGAAAGTGAACAGAATGAAAATCCAAGCAGTGGGGGAGGGGGAGTGAAATATAATTTTGGCCTTTTAAAAATCTCAAAGCAAAGAAACTCCCGGGTGTTGAGCAATTTCAGTAAATCATCATGACGCCAGATCACTTGGAAGGTTTTCTTCAGGGTGGGGTTCAGAGGAGCTATTCCCTTATGTAGAAAACATTTTGAGGTGAGTTGTTCACCTTCAGTCTGCAGCAATATCATTCCTAAAGTGGACAGTTACTACTCTGCCCTCCACCACGTCCCACTGTTTAATTCACCACATCCCGTCTGCTTCCTTTCTAGCCCTGGCAGGCAAAGACATCTAGTGTCCATGCATAAAGGTTAGCATAGCACAGGGAAGCTTCAGAAGACTGCCCGTGAAAGAGCTCCCTCGTTCAGTGCCCTAGGCTGAAAGGGAGGGCAGGAAGGGAGGGCTCACCATGTCACGGAGACAGAGCCAAGCCCCCAAAAGAGTTGGGAAGTTTTCCTTCTTCGTGGATTTCTTCCTGTGACACCCTGTCTTTCCCTTTGAGAATCCAGTGTGGCGTCCAGGGTCGTAGAGTAGCATAGGGGCCATATCCTAGCCAAGCTGATACAGAGAATTAGCTGCCAAGGTATTCACGTCAGTGCTTCCCCACCTAGCAGGCAGAGAGAAGACTCAAGGAGTGATTAACTCAGGCACACAGACCAGCCAGGCCTCACAAACACAGCCATGTATGTTCTGTAGGTAGAAGAGTGCCCATTTGTCTCTCTCTTGCCCTTTCTCCATGCCTGTCCTCTCTGGAAAGATCCGCAAGGCCTGATCTTTCCCTTTCATGGAAATCGTGTTGCTCTTTCTCTCAGTGTATCCAGAATGCAACCCTTTCTAGAGATCCTCCAGCTCGTGTGTTCCGGAAGAAAATTGACGTCTCCATTTTCCGGGAGCCTTTCCTAGATGGCTTCTACTGATTTGGGGTTTCCCTGGCACAGAAACTATGAAGATCAACTTACACACTATGACCAGGGCTTTCAACTTCACTATTAAATGTCCTCTAACTTCTTAGGTTACTGCTTCTATACTCAGTAATTTGTCTACATCTTTCTTTCTTTTCCATTAGTTCTAAAACAGTAGTTTCTGACCACTCTGGGACTAACCATGTGGCTTAGAGATGGTGAGGGATGATCTTTGAGCCCACTCTTGTATCAGCCAAAGAAACATAGATTTTGATCTGTTTTAGTACAGTAGAGTCCCTATTGAAATTTTATGTTCATATTTCCCTAGAAAATGAGACTCTGGGTCTAAAAAATAAACAAACCACTGCCCTAGGCACCTTCACCATTCACTAGTTTATTTGCTCTGGTGTGTCTATTTAATGAAATTTAAGAAAATGAGAGAATTAAGAAATCAAGAAAATTCAGGTTGGGTAGATAACTAGCACTGTACTAGAACTTCACATATATTTTCAATTAATTTTCACAGCAACCTTGAAGTTAGGCTTACTATTGCCATTTCAGAGATGAAAAGTAAACAGGATTAAGTCATTTGCCAGAGTCACAAAACTACTCAGTGGTAGATCTAAGATTCCAGCCCTGGTCTGCCCAAACCCCATGTTTTTTCTATTTCACCATACTCTCTAACTGGTCCTGCAATAAAGCACTAGGCAGATCACTAACTTGTGTATTTATTCCTTTATTCAAGCAAGCATTTACTTATTTATCTTTTTATTTAGCTAAATGATTGAATGCCTGCCCTGTGTCAGGCACTGTGCCACTTTGGAACTAGAAAGGCAAATACAAAAGGGTCCTACAGTCTTCTGTCTGGGACACCCTTGCAATAAAGTGCAGGAAACCCTTCAGACAGAAAGTAACAGGGAGGCAGAGCAGAGTCCACTCAAAGTCACTCCTGTGTCTAGGGGAAAGCAACCCAGCACAGAGCACAGCCCCAGGGGTCATCTCTCCCTCACCTCACATCTGGAGCAGGTGCCTCAGAGCTGGCCAAAGCCAGAGGGATGCAGCCCATTAACTGCTTAGGAATGCTGCTGGAATGTTCCGAGGGGCACTCCCTGAAGGATGTGCTACTTGGTTCCTGACTCTGGCCACACCCCAAACACAACTGAAAAAAAGATTTTTTTCCCATGAACCCAAGAAGCACCAGTGGATAATTTTAATGAAAAAAAATTTTTTTTATTTGACAGAGTTAGACAGTGAGAGAGAGAGAGACAGAGAGAAATGTCTTCCTTCCGTTGGTTCACCCCCCCCCCAAATGGCCGCTATGGCCGGAGCTATGCCGATCTGAAGCCAGGAGCCAGGTGCTTCTTCCTGGTCTCCCATGCAGGTGCAGAGGCCCAAGCACTTGGGCCATCCTCTACTGCCCTCCCGGGCCATAGAAGAAAGCTGGCCTGGAAGAGGAGCAACCAGGACTAGAACCTGACGCCCATGTGGGATGCCGGCACCGCAGGCGGAGGATTAACCAAGTGAGCCACGGCGCCAGCCCCATCCCCATCCAGTGGGTACTTTTATGTGAGCCCTGCAAGCCCCTGCAGCAGAGCAGTCCCTGGGCAGTGAATGGAGGGAAAGTGGAAGGGAGGCTGCTTCTCCTCCACTTAGGAGCCCTTGGCTTCAGGACCAGTCACCATTAAAACCTCCTTCCTTATACCCCAAGGGTCACTGGCAGATAAAGTAAAACCACAGCCAATACCCCATCCTTCCAAATATCCCCTGGTTATCACTTATCATTTCTTATGTTTGTAACCAGTCAGTATTTGCCAACCACTTCTGCATCTTTTATCTCATTTTATGACCACAGCACCTCCTTCAACAAGTTGTATTCTACCCATTTTATAAACAATGAAATGGGGTCATTGCCCAAAGTTACATAGTAATGACAGAGCATCCTTGAACCCCAAACGTTCTGATGTCAAACCCATTGTGCTCACCATTAGACCACACCCATTCGAATACACTCTTGGCGTTTCTGGCTCTTTGGTGAATGCAGCAAACATTAACCTATCTAAAATACAAATGGTCAAGGAGAGGCCAAGAAATGGTGACTCCTCAATGTACTTTTCCTCCTAGAACTCTGGTCCCAGGGGACAGGTGGAAGAGTGGCGGGTTTAGGATACCTCTAGACAAGCTTCCTGGAAAAGCACGTGAGTGCAGCACCAGGTCTTGGGGAAATGTGTGTGCTTTAGCGCAGTGTTAAAGGGATAGGGAAACAAGACCCCGAAGAAGCGAGTGAAGGTAGGCCTGGTGCTCTATCATTTGCGAAGGCAGAGTCCTCTGAACATGGAAAAAGCATTTGTTCTCCCTGCTCCCACAGTGGGCAAAGACGCAAGCCCGATGTTTCTTTTTCTACTGAAAACATCAGCAGCGTGGCAGGACTTTATGAACCACACGGTATTAAAGTAAATGATCTCGAGCTGGGAAGACGTGGGTTCGAATCTCAGCTTCTGCACTAACAATGTGGCTGTGGACAAATTGATCCATCTCCCCCAAGGCCCCTTCTCTTCATAGGAACAATGCAAGGAATTAGATCCTCCTCCTACCTCCCTAAGGAGTGCTGACTCTGAGGCTTTGGCCCACTGGCACTCCAGACTTCTACCCTCCAGAACCCTGAGATGATATTCCAGGGTGATTGTAAACCACTGAGTTGTGATTTGTTACAGCTGCAGTAGGAAACAAACGCAAACACTGGTAAGACAATAGCTCTGTGGAGAACACAGGGCCTACTCAGAGTGGAGAGCGGCACACCTGCTGTTAGATGATAGCCTTTGCAATTTTGTTATTTTGGGAGAAGACGTAGTTTTCTAAGTGAACGTGTGCCACTGATGCCAGCGAAGGGAGAAGAGACCAAGTAGTAAAAACGAGGAAGCACCAGTGGCCAACAATTCCTGAATCTCTTACCGGTCCACCTATCAGTGCCTGCTGTAAGCCAAGCCACAGCGGGGCTGCCTCCCTGGCATTCCTACCACATCGCTGCCAAGGCCTCTTTGACCCATGGCTTTCTCCAGTTTCAACAGACCCCTATCTGCCTCCTCCCTCTCCCTCCTTTTCTCCCCCTCTTGCCTACACTTTTCCACATTAGTTCTGACTCACGCCACTCTCCCATGGAGTATTCATTTGTCGTAAACCTGTGTGTGGCAGTCTTTGGAGAAGCTGTGTTTTGTGGGACATAATTGAGTCACCAGTGTAAATCTAGCTCCTTTCTGGACCAATAAAGGCCGTTTGTTGATGGCCTCCTTAACTCTGTCCTTTTTCTCTATACTCCTTCTTCTCCCCTTTATCCTACTGTGGACAGTCTCTTCTGCCTTGAATCCCTGTTGCCAGTCACCATTGAATTCACCAAAAGAAGAAAATGTCTTCTTCTTGCTTGGAAGCACAAGCACTTGCCACAGTTAGGCTGCCTTTTTTTTTTTTTTTTTTTTTTTTTTTTTTTTGACAGGCAGAGTTAGAGAGAGAGAGAAAGGTCCTCCCTCCGTTGGTTCACCCCCCCAAATGGCCATCACAACTGGCACCCTGCGCCGATCCAAAGCCAGGAGCCAGGTGCCTCCTCCTGGCCTCCCATGTGGGTGCAAGGCCCAAGTACCTGGGCCATCCTCCACCGCCTTCCTGGGCCACAGCAGAGAGCTGGACCGGAAGAGGAGCAGCCGGGACAGAATCCGGCACCCCAACCGGGACCAGAACCTGGGGTGCCAGCACCGCAGGCAGAGGATCAGCCAAGTGAGCCGCGGCGTCGGTGTAGGCTACTTCTTGACAGTGCCTTATCAGTACAATACTGATCAAGAATGGTGCTAGCCTGGCCTCTCCGGATATTTGCCCTTTATACTATTTGCTTATCTGAACTCTCTTCACAGTCTCTTTATGTGAGTCTCCAGTTTAAATTGTAACCCAAATGGCTGGGGATAATGTTATGTCCTACATGCCAGTAATGAAGTTTACGATGTGACTGATCTGGCTATGTGAGTTAGTCTCGGGGGGGGGGGGGGGGGGGGGGGGGGGGGGGGGAGGCCCTGGCTGAGTTATACATTAAATCTTTCAAGGTATTGAGGTCCTCTCAGTCTAATGTGCAACTACGACTGGAAAGAAATGAGTGGCATCTCTATGTAGAAACCACATGTGGGGATATTGTGACAATGGCCCAGAGTCTTCCATTCCTTCCCCAAACACGGATGCAGTGCCACCCCCAAGTGCCAAATCCTGAGTGGAAAAAGCTCATAAAGTTTAACGTTTTTAAATTCCCACAGCTATCAAGTTAAACACAAAAGGGAAAATATTTAGAGAGTAACCGATTTCTTGGAAAGTTGCTGATACACACAATAAAGGGTAATAATGAAGTTAAAACTTAGCAAGTCTGAGTCATAGAGAAGGCTGCCTCCCACTGATCTCCACAAACCAGGACTTCTGCCAAATGGGTAGACATAGAAGCTGGCTCTTCTATGTCTCCACTCCCTAGCTTTCCCTTTCCCTGGAATGTCATCTCTTCCCCACCATCCTCCACACATACCCAACTGTACTGACCAAGGCCATACACATCCTGCAAAGCCTACACCTGTTCCTCCCCAGGATTCCCCCAGTACCTAAGGCCCTACTACATATATTCCAATGATTTAGGAACATACCTTAGCTGCCCTATGCAACATAAAATTCTAGATTACAATAATCTCCTTTGTATATTTTTGTATTCCATTAAACACAAACTGTTTCATTTAATGCATATTTAGACCATGAACGCATGAATCAGTTTATTAATTAGCTTAATGAATAACTTGTTGAGAGAGGTGGACAGCTTTTCTCAAGGTCTTTCAAGCACACAAACCAAAATAATTGCTCCAAACACTTACCTTGTGTTCCTTCCAGAGAATCCTCAGGGAGGCAAGAGGCCCGTGTTCAGCCGTGTAGCACTGAACCTTGTGATGAGTCTGGGAGTCCCTGTGGGCTGAGGGAAAGAGCTTGTGCTCCAGAGACATGCAAACCAAGGTCTCGAGCCCAACTCTGCTGTTATGGGCTGACTCACCAGAACTTAATTTAGCACTTTCAGCTTGAGACTCCTGGTCTGCAGTATGGCTCCTCCTCACCTTTTGCTTTTTCTCCCTAATTGGGTTATGAGAATAAGATGTATGCGTGTGAAGTCGCTGGTGCAGTGGCACATGGGAGGGACTGAAGGTGAGTCCCTCTTCTCCCTCAAGTTCCCCTCTTATAGGACAAGGAACTTCGGAATTTGCCAATTAGTTCTGAAGAGAACAAAATATTCAGAAAATAATGGTTTTTGGCAGTAGCCCACCATCTATATGAGGGCTAACCACTAACTCTGGCTTAGAGTTTCCCCTCTGGGTTTCAATTTGCCTTAAGAGCAGCAGGGGCGGGGGCTGGAGAGAGATCTCCATGTGCCTCGCCCAGCCAAGTCATCACCACCACACACCTGCTCTTTATGCTCTCGTTGGCCATGTGGGGTCTCAGTTCTTCCCGCACAAGTAAGCTTTCTAAACACACTACATCTTAAAGAGCTCCAGAAAGCTGCCAGTCAGACTCTGGAAGCCTTTATTTTTTTTTTATTCTTCTTTTAAAAACTATTGTGATTTTTCTTTTTTTCTTTTTTTCTTTTTTTTTTTTTTTTTTGGCCAGGCATAGTTAGACAGTGAGAGAGAGACAGAGAGAAAGGTCTTCCTTCCGTTGGTTCACTCCCCTAATGGCCGCTACGGCTGGCACTGCACCGATCCGAAGCCAGGAGCCAGGTGCTTCCTCCTGGTCTCCCGTGTGGGTGCAGGGCCCAAGCATTTGGGCCATCCTTTGCTGCCCTCCCGGGCCACAGCAGAGAGCTGGACTGGAAGAGGAGCAACTGGAACTAGTACCCGGCGCCCCAACCGGTACTAGAACCCAGGGTGCCAGAGCCACAGGCGGAGGGCTAGCCAAGTAAGCCACGGCACCAGTCAAAACTATTGTGATTTCTGAGTTCAGTAAGCAAATTTCACCTGTGGCTAAAAGATTATACAACTTTAGTTTGGGTGCTTTGGGACACAAGAAAGCAACACACAAAAATGTGCTTTATTCATATTGTGGCACTCATAACATCCTTTGTCACCTTCTCCTAGTAAGTTCTAATGTTCTCAACTGTGTCTTCAGCCTCGGTGAAATCCTGAAGATGGTCAAAGATGACTCCACTGTCCGTTGCTTCCAAGGCTTGCTGATTTTTGGAAATGTGATTACTGGTGTAAGTAACCAGTGTTTTCAGGAAATTCTGCTCTGCTTTTAATCATGATTTTAGATTCATCAAAAGTGAGAGTTTAAAGGAAAGGAATGATATAATAGGTAGCTCATTATATATTTTTTAATTTTAAGAAAAGTGTTGGTAAATATGCTGGCTAGAATTTAATTATATCATTTATCAAATATAACCATTTAATGTGTCAAAAGACGACAGTGGAAAATGTAGATACTTCCCTCCCAACTTTACTTTTATAAAAAAGATTTTTATTTGTTTATTTGAAATGCAGACCTACAGAGGGTATAAGAGACAGAGAGAAAGGTTTTTCATCCACTGGTTCATTCCCCCAGATGGTTACAACAGCCAGGGCTGGGCCAGGCTGAAACCAAGGGCCTAGAACTTCATTTGAGTCTCCCATGTGGAAGCAGATGGCCAAGGACTTGGGCCATCTTCCACTGCTTTCTCAGGAACATTAGCAGGGAGCTGAAGCAGAAGTGAGTGGCTGAGATTTGGCAAGCAGCAGCTTAACCCGCTGCACCACAACACCAGCCTCTCTCTCCCAACTTTAAAACACAAGTGAAGCCATGTCCACCATGGTCAGTGCCCCAGACATCCCCACCATGCATGCACTATAGTATTTCTCTCCTCTTTCTCCTTGGTTTGAATTCCTATGGGGCAGATGTTTACTTCTTTTATGTAACCAGAAGCAGGCTGTGAGAATAGCTCAGAAGCCAAGTTATCTGGGCATGGTGGAGTGAGGTTGGAGAACCCTTGCCTGGGAGTCAAAAGATCAACCGTTGGCCCAGCTCTGCCTCTGATGCTCTGGGTGACTGGACAAATCATCATCTTTCAAGACTAAGATTCCTCATCTACAAAGGAGGGGTTTGGGAAAAGATAACCACCAAGGTTCCTTCAAGCTCTCCTTGGTAAATAGGACCAAGAACTCCTTAAATATCATAATCCAGGAATTTGGAGGGTTAGGGAAGGCAGGGAGAGAAGTATCTTCATGGAAGTAGGCATTGCGTCTGAATGTTTCATGCCCCAGAGACTTAACGGATGGTGTGAAATGATCTGGGTCTTTCCCCAAATAGCAATAAGACAGTAACGTATGGAAGAAGGTATGCAAGCAATTCGCCAATGAAAGTAGTTGCTTAATATCCTAGAGTTGCATCAAACCTATGCAAGGGAGGGAGTTCTCTTCCCACCCCACCTCTCTGTCCCTTTCCCAATGTCGCACTATTGGCTACCAGCTTGACAGAACCCTGTCTGCTCCCAGATGTGTGGCATCGCCCTGACTGCAGAGTGCATCTTCTTTGTATCCGACCAACACAGCCTCTACCCACTGCTTGAAGCCACCAACAATGACGACATCTATGGGGCTGCCTGGATTGGCATGTTTGTTGGCATCTGCCTCTTCTGCCTGTCTGTTCTAGGCATTGTGGGCATCGTGAAGTCCAACAGGAAAATCCTTCTGGCGGTAAGACCTTGAAAGTCTCTACAGGGGTTTCCTTGGAGCAAGTTTGATGGATTATTTCTGCTTTACTGAGAAGAAGGTTAGGTTTTCAGTGGGGCAGGAGGAAGCAGAATGTCAGATGTTAGGTAAGGTTCTCCCTGCAGTGAAGAGTCCCTCCACTATTACAAATCCAGACAACTCATGTACGGAGAAGCCAAAGGGGAGACACTTGGGGGTGACGCTGCTGAATATTCCCCAGATCTGTGCTTCTCCAGCTGGTATCTGCATGCCTCCAACAGGTATAGTTACGGAAACACAGTGAGAACTTGATTATTAGATTTCTTGATAAGAAGTAATTTAAATGACTATTTTTGGTATTAATCATGTATTGATAGAACATAAAATAAAAAATGTGTATGAATGTGTGAATTTTTAAGAGAAAGCATGAAACTTTTTGAAGATGTTTTTCAGCCCACGGATAATGATTTTGTACAGGCTCTGCATTCTCACATTTTCATTCACTCTGTTTTTCAGGGCCCCTAGAAACTTCAATAAGCACTGCTGCAGAGCATATGTGCAGCCTGCGTCTGACTCTGTGCACCCCAGAAAGGCTTCTGCCCCAAACCACAGCCAGCAGGATCATGTCCTGCCTTTGCAGATGCAGGCATGGCTGAGAAAGCTGGGTTTGGCCTTGACATCTACCCCCTGCCCCCGTGCTCAAGGCAGTAATTCTCACATTGTGTCAAACATCCCTGCACACGCATAGACTCCCAGTCCCTGAAATAAGTTCCCTCCCCAAATGCTGCAGGGCCTGAGTTCCACCTTAAAGAACAAGTCCAGCCACTGAGAGTGTTGTTGGTTTACTTTCCCTTTGAGTTAACCATCATCCTGGTACTCCACAAATGCAGAACATTTACATTCTGTGATTCCTCAGTATGAGTTAGTTGGAGGGCAAAAGGATCCACTTTGAGAAGGTGGGGAAAGGAACGTTGGGGGAAAAAGGGGAGAGGGAGAAGAAGAGAGGCAGGTGTCCCCAGTGACAACCCACACTTGTGTCCCAGCCTCACTTTGGGCCAGTCATGTGTGTGGCTCACACAGCCAAAGGAGCAGCTCTCCCTCCCATTCAAGGGATGAAAGGAGAAATGCCTGACCCTCTGGCCCGCCTCCCTGTAGTGTTGCTAAGAGGTTCGGAGTCTCTGTAGGAGGAACCCCAAAGCTCTTGACAGAGAGCAAGGCAGCAGCTAAGACAGGAGAAAAGGATCTTTGCCTCTGAGAGCCTCCCACTGGTGACTTGCAGCCAGAACTTTGTTTTGAGCCAGGTGCTGAGGGCAGCAGACGGTCGTGCTCAGAGAATCTCCCATGCCCAGACCCAGAGAAGATTTTCCCTGCCCTCCCCCACTGGCATGGAGCACAGTGCCCCTTCCCAAGGATACAAGGACTGGAAAGCTCAGTTACCAGGCTGAGGAAGGCAAAGACAAAATTCGCCAACCACTCCCATCCCAGATTCAGAAGTCATTTGCAGTTCAGATCCTTTCAAGCCCAAAGAGTCTGTGACCTGTGGAGCCGTCATGGGCACACACAACAGCGACACCCCTGCTCTGTCTCATTCACCTGAGCCTGTCAGTGAGGGGAGAAAGGTGACATGAGAATGCCAGCAAGTGTGTGGGAAACTACCTACTTCTCTCTAAAAAGAGCGGATGCTTGTTAGGAGGGACACCGACTGTTAAAAAGGCTTTGGGTCATCTCTTTCTGACCTCTGTGGTTCTAAATTTTCAACAAACCATTGAAAAAAATCTCCCAAGGAAAGGGGATTTATGAAGCTCTACATTGTGTGTGAGACACTCAGACTCTTACCAGCCACTGAATGTACAGGTGCTTGTACACACACACACACACACACACACATCAGTTCTTTCTCTTGTATTTGTCTTTCTCAGTGAAAATAGAAATTCAGGATATTGGTCTGGGAAAGCTCTGTGTTCATTGGCCATTCATTCTGTGACAAACAGGTGAGAATTGAGCTAACTTGCATCAAGCTTTTCTCCCCACCCAGCCCCATTCCAGGCAGTTGGTCAATGAGGGTTTGCTGAATATCTATGTAAATGATTGGATGATTTTATTCAGAGGAATGTGCTGAAAAACCACAACAATCATTTGGCGAAGTCTGTCTTTGGGAGCAAATGTAATCCTTTTCTCTCATTTGTTTCCCTTCCAGTATTTCATTCTGATGTTTATAGTGTACGGCTTTGAAGTGGCATCTTGTATCACAGCTGCAACACAACGAGACTTTGTGAGTACAATCTCATAAAGCACAGAGCTCAAGTGACAATAGAATCATCATTTGCAGGGCGGGCGTTTGTCACAGCAGTTAAGATGCCACTTGGGATGGTGGCAGCCTGTGTCAGTGTGCTGGGTTTGAGGTCCCGCTCTGCTTCTTCCTGCTAACTTCCTGCAAATCCCCGGGGAGGCAGTAGGTGATGGCTCAAGTACTTGAGTCCCTGCAAGCTGCACCAGAAACGTACCTGGATGCTCCTGGCTTCAGCCTTGTCTAGCCCCTCCCAACTGTTGCCTCAATGTTCGGGGACTGAACCAGAAGATGGAAGCTCTCTCTCTGTGTCCTCATCACTCTGCCTTTCAAGCCAGTAAATAAATTTTTTTAAAATAATCCTACTTAGTACAGTAATATTGTAGCTGATATGTATCAAGCCCTTACTATGTGCCAGGTACACAAATGTGCACTTTATTTAATATTTTTCTTAACTTTTATTTAGTAAATATAAATTTCCAAAGTACAGCTTATGGATTACAAAGGCTTCTCCACCCCCCATAACTTCCCTCCCACCTGCAACCCTCCCATCTCCCACTCCTTCTCCCATTCCATTTGCATCAAGATTCATTTTCAATTCTCTTTATATACAGAAGATCAATTTAGTATATATTAAGTAAATATTTCAATAGTTTGCATCCACACAGAACATAAAGTGTAAAATACTGTTTGAGTACTAGTTATAGCATTAATTCACATCGAACAACACATTAAGGACAGAGATCCTACATGAGGAGTAAGTGCACAGTGACTCCTGTTCTTGACTTAACAAATTGACACTCTTGTTTATGGCGTCAGTAATCTCCCTAGGCTCTTGTCATGAGTTTCCAAGGCTATGGAAGCCTTTTGAGTTCGCCAACTTCAATTTTCTACTGGGCCTTTTTTTTTTTTTTTTTTTTCCAGAGTGTCTTGGCTTTCCATGCCTAAAATACTCTTATGGGCTCTTCAGCCAGATCTGAATGCCTTAAGGGCTGATTCTGAGGCCACAGTGCTGTTTAGGATATCTGCCATTCTATGAGTCTGCTGTGTATCCCGCTTCCCATGTTGGATGGTTCTCTCCTTTTTAATTCTATCAGTTAGTATTAGCAGACACTAGTCTTGTTTATGTGATCCCTTTGACTCTTCTGTGTTCATCAGGGATATTGGTCTGTAATTTTCTTTCAATGCTGCATCTTTCTCCGGCTTAGGGATTAAGGTGATGCTGGCTTCATAGAAAGAATTTGGGAGGATTCCCTCTTTTTTGATTGTTCTGAATAGTTTGAGAAGAATTGGAGTTAGTTCTTCTTTAAATGTCTGGTAGAATTCAGCAGTGAATCCATCTGGTCCTGGGCTTTTCTTTGTTGGGAGGGCCTTTATTACTGTTTCAATTTCTGTCTCAGTTATGGGTCTGTTTAGGTTTTCTATGTCTTCTTTTAACTGGAGAGTTGAAGCCATTAACATTCAATGTGACTATTGATAAGTAGTAACTTTGCTCTGCCATTTTCCCAAAGATATTTTCTAATATTGTCGCTCCCCGTCTTCATGGAGGAATGACACTAAGCCCTGCCTAGGCTTCATATCTGAGTCACGGCACCATTATGTCACTCCCCCTCTTCGTGGAGGAACGACACAGGACCCTGCATTGTTCTTTTGTCTGCTCGGCCCTCCCCCGGTTTGCTGCTGGTTCTTCCCGAGTTGGCTACCGACCCTTCCACCTCCGTGGAAGGGCGGTTCCCCCTGGCCACTTTCCCCACTTCCGCGGGGGAGCGGCACACCGCCGGCCGGCTCTCTCGGGGGCTGCACAGGTGTTCCTTCAGATGTTCCCCTTAGATGTTCCTGGTGCATGTTGTCTCTCTCCTCCTTTATAGTCCTCTTCCACCAATCCCAACTCTGCTACCCACACGCCGAGTACGCTGCTCTCCTCCAATCAGGAGCAGGTCCTGCAGCTTGTGAAGTTGGTGAGAGGCAGCTGGGTAGAAGCTGTTTGCTCCTCTCCCAGCGCCATATTGTGGGAGAGCAGATGTATAGAATAAGTCTTAATTCCAGTAACAGTATAGTCCGAGTTGCTCCCCACATAATATATGCTTTGAACTTCGTGTGATCTTTTACTGTGAGATTTTCTTCCTTTGCCTTCTTTCATTTGATGACCGTGTTTCTGTTTTTGTGTGTAGCACATCTTTTAAGCATCTTTTGCAGGGCTGGACAAGTGGCAACAAATTCTTTCAATTTCTGTTTGCTATAAAAGGTCTTTATTTAACTTTCATTCACAAATGACAGCTTTGCAGTATATAATATTCTGGGCTGGCAGTTTTTTTTTCCTCTTAGTACCTGGGCTATGTCTCGCCATTCCCTCCTAGCTTGTAGGGTTTCTGATGAGAAGTCAGCTGTGAGTCTAATTGGAGATACTCTGAGAGTAATCTGACGTTTCTCTCTTGCACATTTTAGAATCTTTTCTTTATGTTTCACTGTGGTGAGTTTGATTACAACATGTCGTGGTGAGGATCTCTTTTGGTCATGTTTACTGGGGGTTCTATGAGCTTCCTGTACTAGGATGTCTCTGTCCTTTTCCAAACCCGGGAAGTTCTCTGCTAGTATCTCACTAAAAAGGCCTTCTAATCCTTTCTCTCTCTCCATGCCTTCAGGAACTCCTAGAACTTGAATGTTGGATTTTTTAATAGTATCCTATAGATTCCCAACAATATTTTTTAGATTTCTAATTTCCTCTTCTTTTCTTTGGTTTGACTGTGTATTTTCCTGTGCTCTGTCTTCTAAGTCCAATATTCTCTCTTCTGCTTCACCCATTCTGTTTTTAAGGCTCTCTAATGTGTTTGTCATTTGATCTATTGAATTCTTCATTTCATTTTGATTTCTCTTCACTATCACAATTTCATGTTCTACTAGTTTCTGCATTTCATTTTGATTCCTCCTTAAGATTTCATTTTCACAAGAGAGATTTTCTATCCTGTCCAGTAAGGATTTTTGTAGTTCAAGAATTTGTTTTTGAAAACTTCTAAATGTTCTTATCATAAATTTTTTGAAATCCGTATCTTGCATTTCTTCTATCTCATCATCTTCATAATCTTGGCTTGGGGTGTCTTGTTCATTTGGGGGCATCATAATGTCTTCTTTGTTCTTGTTTCCTCAGTTTCTGCGTTTGTTTCTTGGCATTGTGGAGATATTCTTTAGTTTCTTCTTCCCTCACTGTGGTGTTTTTTCTTGTTATACTATGACTGTATTAAGTGGACTGTCTGCTTTTGATAGAGCCTTAGAGGCTTGAGATGGGTATGGCCAGAGAGCTCTGTTTGGTTCCTGAGGGTTAAGGGTGTGCCAAAAGTGACAAACCCAGGTTAGGCATGGTAAATCTCTCTCTCTCTCTCTCTCTCTCTCTCTCTCTCTCTCTCTCTTTTATTTATTTATTTATTTATTTATTTATTTATTTATTTATTTTTGATTCAGAAGGGAAGTAATTCCACACAGCTGAGCAGAATTGAAGGCAGTCAGTTTCTGATCTCTGGCTCCTCCCTTTCCAGCACTGGTGTGTAGATTCCGCAGCTGGGGTCCTGAGCCGTAGGCTCCCACGCCCTCCACGTAGGTCCACCGTGAATCACTAGTTCCAGAAGAGTTTCCTCTGCTGTTTCTTCCCCTACTCTTCCTTGAACCTGCAGAATCTCCACTTTTATTAAACTGTCTCTTCCCTATCAGTGTGCTCCCTTCCTATTCCGCCATCTTGCCCACAACTGAGTCCTTACAAATCTGTGGCATAGACATGATCACTATTGTCATTTTACAGATGAAAACAATGAGACATAAAGATAAAGTAACTTGTCAAAAGATGTACAGTTGGCAAGTGAAATAGCAAGCTCCTCACCATTCTGCCATGGCCCCTGGCCTTCCAATGCCATGATCCGTATTCCACCACCTCGAACACTTTTTTCCAATTCAGTGTCTTTCATTCTTTTCCCGGATTCCCTGGCCTAAGCTGCCATACAATGTTTGTCCAATTTGTCTCAGGGATTTCTTTCAAGATGGGGGACTTCAGACAACCAGAAACATCCTTAGCTGACTATACTTGGTATCTCTAAGTATAGTTTTGCTCCGAGAGAGAAAGTTTTGTGTCCCTAGCAACTGGCTGAGGGAGTTTTTTTAGCTCTGTGGGGATTATAACACACACTCTTTCTCTCCTGCCTCGTGTTTCATTTTCCCCATGCAGTTCACACCCAACCTCTTCCTGAAGCAGATGCTGGAGAGATACCAGAACAACAGCCCTCCAACCAATGATGACCAATGGAAAAACAATGGAGTCACCAGGACCTGGGACAGGCTCATGCTCCAGGTGAGGCCTGTGAGCCAGGTTGGACCCCACTGTGATCTAAACTAGTAAGCAGGGTGTGGGGCAGGAGTGAACTCAGTGTGTGAGGACTGCAGCCTCCAGGGGAATTCTCTCAGGAAAGGATTCCTTGCAGACAAGGTCATCGAATCCTCCTATTTATGGGGTCAGGAGGAGGGTGGAGGCAAGAGGATAGGAATGGGAAAGTAGGGATGCAGGGAGGAGTGTTGTGCTCATGACTCAGTGGGACCCCTACATCTGCATTGTATTGCAAGCTATGATGTTGATGAGCTTACAATTACAGGGCTAATAAAACTGTCATGACATTTAGACTAATCACACCTTCTGCCTCTTAGAACTCAAGTATCACTTACAATAAAAGAAAGATGTTGTCTTCTCTGCCCTACTGTGAACTCAAGTGGCAATTACTACCTGTTTTTGCTTTGTTGCTATCTTCTCACACCTCCCTTAAGCTTGCCCTGCTAAGAAAAAGGGTCTATTATTTTATTTGATTGCTCAATTTTCTCCTACTGGCAACCACAAAAGTTGCCCTCAAATACCACCAGATACCCAGCTCTTCAGGAATATCCATTCTCACTCCTATATTGCCCTATGTACATAAATTGTTATCCTCTTCATAACCCCTCACTACCCAACTCTCACAATGGTGTGCTCCCAGCCCCTAGTGCAGCACCAAATTTTTACAATGTCTCATCAGCAACTCCCTGATAGCCTCCACTCCTTCTTTAAGCTCTCTTTACCCCCTTATTTCACCAAAATCCTGACTGTGCCCTGTTGGAGACACTCTCATTTTTCTCCCTTGCCCCACATAGCACAGGGCCTACCCCTTGACAAGGCATCCTCACTGTTCCTCTTGGCTACCATGCTATTTCCTTCTTTCATTCCTTCCTCCTTCAAATATTTGAAGTTAATGTCCTCAATCTACATCATCTATGACCCTCCTTATTGATGTTATTTATCAGCCTCCCCAACCCAAGCTTGAAAGATTTCATTAAAGACTCTACTGTCTCATTCACTATCCACCTCTTCCCTCATACTCCTGTCATCCCATCTAGAGAACTAAACGTCTATATGGTGTCTCAGCCAACATGTGGCTTCTCAAGTCCATATCCTACTCCCTTACAAACATCATATCCTCCACTCTACCTCAGCCACCATCTTCCACAGCTATAAACAGCAAGTCATCACCAATAACTGTACCATCTAAGAAAATCCCATTCTCTGCTATAATTTTTTCTTTTACCCTAATATCCCTATTTCAATCATTTTCACCCCAGTAGGCCTCCAATTGACCACATTTTCAGTTTCTATCACCCTTTTCATGTTCCCTCTCCCCTCCTTAACTTATATGTCGGTTCCAGCCCAGCCGTCACTCCTGTATCAGTCACCTTTACTTCTTGCCCTGTCTCTGTTCACGAGTCTAAATCCTAACCAACCGCTACTGGGATTGAATTATGATTTTTGGCCCATTCCTCACCTATACCCTAAGAGATTAGCATTGCTGGACAAAGTCACATGGTCACACTAGCTTCAATTCAAAAGCACACTAGATATTTTCTACTCTATTTTTTGCAGAAAATTTGCTTGCAACTATTTTGCATGTTCTTCCCTCTCTTCACACCTCCAACACCCCCCATCACCCAGACTCTCAGCTGATGCTCATGTTTTATGGAGAATATAGAAGTAATCAGACAAGAACTATCTTATCTTTCTGCCACCAAATATATCCATCTACGTTGATCTGTATCTGTGCACTTTATGTCTCTCTCTGGGGTATTCTTTGTTCAACTTCTTTGTTTCTACCCTGCATTTTATCACCTTTGCTCTAACAATCTTCCCTGTTCTGATCCGCCCCATCAATATCTTCCATGAAGCATCCTAAAAGGAGACCTTAAATTGTCTGTCTTTCCAAAAAAACTCCCTCTTGCCCAATATTCACCCACTATTCTGTTCTGCTACTGTTCTGTTTTATTTCACAGTCAACCTTGAGAGAGATATCTACAGTTGCTGTCTCCATTTTCACATTTCTCATCTGCCTCCATGCAACTACAGTTGGCTTCTGACCCTACTAGTCCACTAAAAGGAGCCTTATAGTAATCCATCCTGCCAAATCCTGTGGTCAAAGTTCTGTCCTCACCTTACTGGACATGTCACCAACATTGTCCATCTGGTACCTCTCTCAATCTCCTTTACTGGATTTTCACAACTCTGAATGTTGGAGTGCTTCAAAGCTCATTTGGGGAGCCTTAATTCTCCTCCATTTCTACCTAAAATCTAATAGGAAATAAGCCTGGCTCAAGCATAACCATTTTCGCCTAGAATTTTCAGGTCAAAATACAGAATGGGAACAGGGGTTTAAGTGCGGCAACCAAGATATTATTCAGGATACCTGCATCCCATATCAGAGGCCTCGGGTTCTCTGTTCCTGTCTCAAGCTTTCTGCTAATGCACACTCTGTGAAGGCAGCAGGTGATGGCTCAAGTATTTGGGTCCCTGACACCAACACAGGAAACCTGGATTGAGTTCCTGGCTCCTCTGGCATTGACGAGTGAACCAGTGGAGAAGAACAGTTCATCTCTTTCTCTCTCTCTCTCTCTCTCATGATTAATTTTTTTAAAAACCAGAATGATTATTTTTCCTGGCTGCATAGTTTCCATAATACAGTGGTGAAACTGGACATCCTTTCAGGATAATTGATTTATCATTATGTTTAATTATTACATTTATTCTAAGAGGTGCCTATGGTTTTAACTTCCTCTCTTGAAATATTTTCATAGAATTTACTTTCTAAAAGCTAGGGAAGTAATATTAATTGTTTTACCTTCTATCCGGATTCCTATTCACAGTGTAAGGATATCAGTCACATGTGATTAAACTTCCTTTCACATAAAGAGATTTGGCTGTGTGGCACCAGGTTTTGGTTAGCTTTTCTAGTTTCTTTGCCATTTTAGAAGTAAAACATAATCACTCTAACAAGAAAATTACTCATAATTTCTTTACCAGTAAATTTATAAATTTCCTGATTCTCAAATTACTCATGTGATATTAGAATAATTATACCTCTTTTGCATTGCTGCTTCAAGATATTTGTATTAATAATAATTGTTTATTAAAGGTTTACTGTGATCCAGGAACTTTACTAAACATATCATATGTTAACTCTCTTAATTATCACAATTCTATGGGGCAGACACTACAAGTATACTTATCCTAATTTTATAGTAAAGAAAATGAGGCTCGGGTAGTTTAAATAACATGTCACAGGTTACAGAGTTCATTAATGAGATGGTAAAAGCTATGAAAAATGTTCTATAAACTCTAAATTGATTTATTGAGCCCTGAAACTCTCATTTGTTAGAAGTAAAATATAGTATGATTTCCATTTCTTCTTGTTTTTTAAAAAATTTATTCAGAGGCCAGTGCTGTGGCATGGTGGGCTTAGGCTCCACCTGCAGCACCGGTATCCCATATGAGTGCTGATTCAATTCTAGGCAGCTCCTCTTCCACTCCAGCTCCCTGCTGTGACCTGGGACAGCAGTGGAAGATGGCCCAAGTGCTTGGGCCCCTGCATACACCTGGGAGACCAAGAAGAAGCTCCTGGCTCCTGGCTTCAGATCAGTCCAGCTTCAGCTGTTGCAGCCATTTGGGGAGTGAACCAGAGGATAGAAGACCTTTCTCTCTGTCTCTCTCTATCTGTAACTTTCCTCTCAAGTAAATAAATAAATCTTTTATAAAAAAAAAAATTATTCAGGGGCCGGCGCTGTGTCATAGCGAGTGAAGCTGCTGCCTGCAGGGCTGGCATCCCATTGTTCAAATCCTGACAGCTTCACTTCCAAATTAGCTCTCTGCTATTGCCTGGGAGGACAGTGGGAGATGGCGCAAGTCCTTGGGCCCCTGCACCTGCGTGGGAGACTGGATGGAAGCTCCTGGCTCCTGGCTTTGGATCGGCACAGCTCTGGCCACTGCAGCCATCTGGGGAGTGAACCAGTGGATAGAAGACCTCTCTCTCTGCCTCTGCCTCTGCCTCTGCCTCTGCCTCTGCCTTTGCCTCTCTGTAACTCTGCCTTTAAAATAAATAAATGTTTTTAAAAATTATGCATTTATTTGAGAGGCAGAATGAGAGAGAGAGATCTTATATCCTTGGTTCACACCCATATGACAACAGCTAGGGCTGGGTGAGGTAAAAGCCAGAAGACCAGAACTCCATCCAGGTCTCCCACATGTGTGACAGGGGCCCAAGCACTTGGGTCATTTTCTACCACTTTCCAGGGAGCATTAGCAGGAGCTGGATGGATGCAGAGCAGCCAGCAATGCAAGGAGCAGTTTAACACTGCCCCCTCTATTTCTTCTTTCTTTCTTTTTAAAATTTTTTTTATTTTATTTGAAAGACAGAGTTACAGAGAGAGGCAGAGACAGAGAGAGAGGTCTTCCATTTGCTGGTTCACTCCCCAGATGGCCACAACGGCCAGAGCTATGCTGATCCGAAACCAGGAACCAGGAGATTCCTCCGGGTCTCCCATGCAAGTGCAGGGGCCCAAGCACTTGGGCCATCTTCTACTGCTTTCCCAGGCCACAGCAGAGAGCTGGATCAGAAGAGGAGCAGCCAGGACTAGAACTGGCGCCCATATGGGATGCACCACAGTGCCCAGCCCCTTCTTCTTTCTGTTTGAAAGTTCACTTGCTACATCGATGGCTTGAGCGAGGCTCATGAAAGGGAATGTGTGTCTCTCATCCACTGACAGGACAATTGCTGTGGCGTCAATGGCCCATCAGACTGGCAGAAATACACGTCTGCCTTCCGAGCTGAGAACAATGATGCCGACTATCCCTGGCCTCGCCAGTGCTGTGTCATGACCAATCTTAAAGAACCCCTCAACCTGGAGGCTTGCAAACTAGGAGTGCCTGGTTATTACCACAATCAGGTGAGTCCTCTCTCCTGCCGAGACCTGCCGGAACATTCTCCCGCTCTTTATGAGAAAGCATGGTCAGCTGTAGATAACGGTCTCTCAGAACGAAATGCTACATCCTTTCCCCCAACCTCATGTTGACCATTTCCCCCTTCTCTGTAGATAAACTGTGAATGCCCTTTGAGAGCTGCTATGAGGAAATGTGCATTTTAATAAAACAGAACAGGAGATTTGCAATAGCAGAACCCAACTTTGTTTTAATGAAGTGATTTTACAATGTGTAGAATTGGTATAGAATTGTATTGAAATGGTTTCCTTAAACAGAGATCTGCTCTGCTTTCGCATCGTATAAATAGGAAGGGATGATATGCACACAGAATGCTTTGCCAACTCCAAAGTAAGGGCAATTTCTGAGGGCCAGCGAGGTCACTGCACATTCACATTCCTTTTCCAGTGGAGTTGACTGTGTTTTTAACAGAGTATTTTGCTGGAGATTTAGGAAGTTCACATATGGTTTGTTTTTTGAGGAAGTTGTTTTCAGGCAGAGGAGGCTGATAAAATGTTCACGAAGCATTCACTGAGTCCTTACTAAAGGCCAGACACTGTTCTAAGTGCAGATGCTAATTCCACGGATGCTGAAAAGATGGCGCCAGTGTGTCCCCTATTTGACTGAAACACAGAAATGCTCATCCGAGCACAGCCTACGTGCCAATGAGGCTTGGTAAGACTTCTCAAAGGCCCTCATGGGGACTCCCATATTCCCCGAGTCAGCATCCACTGACATTGCGCTGTCATGCTCTACACTGCCTTGGGAGCTGCCCCCTTATGGAGGGTTCTTTAAATAGTTAGAAAATGTTTAGTTTGGGAGTAAATATGACAAACTGCATGTTCAGCACGCAGGACACCACACTGCTGATCCTGGTGCCAGATCTGGCAGGGTACCCAGACTAAGACTGCACATAAAATCCAGAAAATGAGAAGGAAGCAAGGTAGATTATTTTGGAGTAAGTGTCAAAGCAATCCTCATTCAGCTTTATGGCCACATTGTTCTGGGCATTTAAAAAAAAAATCAGTTATAATCAGACTTCTATACAAATTAAATGTATTATTTATAATCATAGTATGCAATAGAACTATTACTCTCAGTATTAATAAAATGCTTTCAATATTCCAACATGGGAACTGGCTCGTGTGAACGAATCTCAATTGGACTGTGCTTGTGTCCAAACTGTGTCGTCTCTTTGAAAGGGATGAAAAGGACATTTTCCCTCAGAGAATCAGTTTATTTCATGGAAACACTTGCTTCCCCAGCACGTGTGACACTCACCAGGACAAGCCTAAAAGCACAGATGAGGAGAAGATGGACTGTTTTCCTCTTGCTGGCGTGGGATCTATGTTGACAAACTGTACCCCTTTCCCTGAGAGTTCCTTGGCTTGGTCCATCCCTAACACCTCCATGCAAACTACCTACCACTATCTACAAACTGTCATCACTCAGCCCCCCTCAGGCACCAAATTCCTGAGTCCTGAAATTCCTTTCCCTGTAGCTGATTCCCTATGCTTCTCTCATTCATTCCTCTCCCTCATCACAGTCCCTTATCAACCCTTTGTGATTCTCCCTAGCCTAGGGCCCCAGACTCCCATACACCACTCTTCTCCCTGACTGACAGGTCCTACTAACAATCCTTTACCACAAAGCAAATGTGCCGTCCCAGTCCTTAGCAGCGTCTACTTCTATGATTGCATCTACCACCTTGAGCTGTAGTATGTCTTATTACATATCTATTTTCTTAGTTGTATTTATTACTTTTTGGACACACAAAGAGATAGAAAGGGAGACAGAGAGACAGAGAGTTCCCTTGTACTCGTTCACTCCTCAAATCCCAGAATGGCTGAGAGTGGACAGCTGCTGGGCCAGGCCAAGGGCAGAAGCCAGGAATGCAATCCAGGTCTCTCACTCCAGTAACAGAAATCCTATTTGAGCAATGGCCACTGCTTCCCAGAGTCTACACTGGCAGAAAACTGGAGTCAGGAGCTGGAGTCAGGAATTGAACCCAGCACTCAGGTATGGGATGCAGATATCTTCACCACTGGACCAAATGCACATTCCTCACACTGTGAGCCTCCCTTAAGGGTCATGTATTATTTAATCGCATAGCTTTAATACTTAGCACAGGGGCCAGTGTCGTGGCTCACTTAGTTAATCCTCTGCCTGCAGCGCCAGTATCCATATGGGCGCTGGTTCTCGTCCCAGTTTCTCCTCTTCCAGTCCAGCTCTCTGCTGTGGTCTGGGAAAACAGTGGAGGATGGCCCAAGTGCTTGGGCCACTGCAGCTGCATGGGAGACCTGGAAGAAGCTCCTGGCTCCTGGCTCCTGGCTTCAGATCTGTGCAGCTCCGGCCATTGCAGCCATTTGAGAAGTGAACCAATGGAGGGAAAACCTTTCTCTCTGTCTCTCTCTGCCTCTCTCTCTCTCTGTCTCTCTCTATAACTCTACCTGTCAAATAAATAAATAAAATCTTTCAAAAAATCCTTAGCATAATGCCTGGCACAAACAGGCACTGAATGACTGTTTGTAAATGAACAAAGAAATGCCTTTCTTTCCCCCCTCCATGTTGTAGCTTTTCAAGATCAACAATGCACAGATTTGGTGCCAAAACCTTTGCAATTAGCAAAATTAGGGAAGTCATATATGTGGTTAAAAAAAAAGTATAAATCAACTAGAATTTCACATAGCAATTCAGATACAAATATGTGTTCTACACTGATCCATCTGCCTCAGAAATTCTATATGCAAATTCTGACCATTACGTTTCAAGAAGATTATTTTAAAACTATGGAAGATCAAGAAAAGCACCACTAAGATGAAAAGGCACAAAATTAGAGGGAGTTAAAGTAAAAAAAAGAAAAACAAGGCTTTTATCTATATGAGTTCCATGAAAACAAGACCCCACTTGTGTCTTGTCCCAGCCAAATGATGAGCCCAGCACCAGGTACCTGGCATACACAGGCTCTTATGTATTATTATTATATAAATGACCACCTCCCAGGTAGTCATAAGGATCAAGTTAGTAGTTAATAAACCAACATTTTGTAAACCATTAAGTGTGTTGCAAATGATGTTATTATAATCATTACTTACTATCAAGTTCTATTCATTCTTTAAGTAATTGCTAAGTGTCTACCACATGCCAGACACTAGTTCTGGATTCTAGAGATTCAACAAGGAACAAGACAAAATCCCTGCCCTCATGGAGCTTGCATTCTACTACAGGAGACGTGTTACCATCACATGGTAGAATTCAGGTAGTTACAAATACATGATCATAGATAGAGCAGGGTGGGTATATAGGGTGTGATGCAGGAAGGGGTATTTTCAGGAAAGGGTAGTTGTCGGGAAAGGTTTTGTTGAGTTGACATTTGCGGAGTTCTGAATTCAGTGAGGCAATGAGGCACTGGAAAATTGGGAAAAGGGCTGTAAACAAAGGAAGCAGCAGGTGCAATGGTCCTGAAGATGAAGCAGTCTTAGCTTTTTTGGAGTAATATCAAAGAGGCGAGCATGACAAGGCCAGAATAAGGGAAGATTGTGTAAAAACAAAGATGAATCTAGATTTTGTGAGTGGACTCAGGCTTCAAGGTGCAGGGAGGAGGAGCAGTTAGCGGGCTATTGCTAGGAGTTGCTTATGTGTTGGATACTACATAACAGAAAACGAGTTGAGTAAGGATAATTCCCATATTTTTCCTCTGAGCCATCTAGGTGAATGGAGGTGGCTGTAATGTAAATGGAGAAGAGGGAAGGGGGTGAAATCCAGCAAAAGTGGGGCATCTGCATGGATGAACAAGGGACTGGGGCGGTCATAAAAAGCAGAACCTCAAATGGTCATCTGGAGCCACTGGGTGGAGCCCAAGCCCCAAGATCAGCTTTTCTAGGCTGTTTGCCTCTGGACTCAGTGGTGCATGGAATCAGCCCGGGGTTATTCCATTCCCTGGGCATCACCTGTGATTCACGTCAAGGCTGAGCTCATTCATAGGGCAGCTGGAGCCTGGTTCGCGTGCTGCACTCCAGGGCTCTGCCTAGTGAGCAGTGTGCACATACAAATACTTACGCATTATGACATGCACGCATGAATGACTCAGCGAATAAAGTCAATTGCTCTTTCACTCGCACACCATGGCCCCTCAAGATCTCACTAGGGTTCATTAACATTATGTTGAAATACATTGTCAAATAAGAATTCGGGGAGCATGACATAGGGTTTCCTTAAGTGATTATAAAAAATGGCAACTGAAGACCTTTGGTTTTCATAGATCAGGATTGTTTCTGTTCAAAAAGAAACAAAAAGTAACTCTGCCCTCAAACTACCAATAAAAGGCTTGAGAAGGAAAGCAATTTCAAATTTTATTAAGAATTATCCACTTATTAACTATGGAAAACAATATCTTGCTAAAATAATAGCACTTTTGCTAGCGTGGTTGAGTGATAGAGCACAGGTAAACATGAGAGAGAATGCAAGTTCGACAGCATTATTCATACTCAGCAAAGCACGGCCGTAGCTGACTGTCCACAGGATGTGCAAACAGCCGATTTGTAAAGCAGGACTTTGGAAGGCATTGATTCAAACAGGAATCGGCTTTCCCAGTGTTCTCTTCCCCTTTTCCTCTTGGTCGCCTCACAACAATGTGGGATCACCCCTTCTCCAGGGCTGCTATGAGCTGATCTCTGGACCGATGAACCGACACGCCTGGGGAGTTGCCTGGTTTGGATTTGCTATTCTCTGCTGGACGGTGAGTATTCCTCAGCACGTGTTTCATTTCTCAGAGGATGATAATAAGGAGAGACATCGAGATTACCACTGGTTACGGCAACCGCACCAGAGTCTAGAAAAGACCCCTGACCCGAAGGCTGGTCAGGAAACTTCGGCCACCAGAGCAAGGACAGTGAATTCCTGTGAGCAGTGAGGTGGGAGCCTCCCCCGCCAGGGAAAGGGTGTGCCTACCTATGCAGATCCTGCGGCTGATGGGAGCTCACCGGCAGCTGGAGAACTCTTTCCCCTGCCCAGCCCTCTTAATGAACTCCCTCCTGCTCCTCCCAGCCTCCAGATCTCATTAATTCATTACCACTAGCTACCAAAGACCTCTGCTGTCTTTAAAAAATCTTTTAATTTTTTATTTATTTGAAAGGCAGAGTTACACAGAGGGAGGGAGAGACAGAGAAAGACCTTGTATGCACTGGTTCACTCCCTCAAAGAGCCCCCAGCAGCCTGAGCTGAGCCATCCTGAAGTCAGGATCTTCTTCCAGGTCTCCCACTTGGGTGCAAAGGCCCCAGCACATGGGCCATCCTCTTCCACTTTTCCCAGGCCATCAGCAGGGTGCTGGATTAGAAGTAGAGCAAGCAGGACTCAAACCGGTGCTCATATGGGATGCCAGTGTTGCAGGCAAAGACTTAACCCACTATGCCACAATGCCGGCCCTGACACCTGTCTTGATGGAATCTGCCCAACACTTTTCTGGCTCAGCTCCTTCCAAAGAGCTACCTCTACCAGTCTCAGGATTTCCTACCACCTACTTTATCCGATGCACATGTAGCAGGACTTTAGAGTGATGGTTCTCAGCTCTGGCTGTACACGAAAACCTCCAAAAGGAGCTTTAAAAAAAAAAAAAAAAAAGAAAAGAAAAAATGCCTGGACACCAGCCTCTGAGATCCTAAATTCAGGCAATCTGGGGGCCGAGCTCAGGCAGTTTTCTTTCTGTGCTACTCTATTTGCTATCAAAGTTAAGAACCAGTACATTATAGGAACAGTCCCAAACTTCTTTTTCAAGAACCACTTCACACTCTGAAAAGTATTGAGGACTCCAAAAAGCCTCTGTCTATGTGGCCTGTATCTATTGATAGTTCCCACTGGAAATTAACTTAGAACTTTTAAATATTTATTAATTCATTTTTGAAATAAAAAGTCAATTATATGTTCATGTAAAGTATATTTTATGGAAAAACTATCTTACAAAACAAAAAAAATAGTGAGAAAATTGGCATTGTTTTCTACTTTTGCAAATCTCTTCAATATTTGTCTTAGTAGAAAACAGCTAGATTCTCCTACTTAATCCTCCATTCAATTTGTTGTAATACATTCTCTAGTTTGAGAGAACACACCCTTCATTTAGACAAGGAGTTGATAAAAATCAAGAGTGCTTTAATAGACTTATCTGAAGATACTTGTGTCTTCAGATTTTTGTATTGATAGTATACTTAATTTCACAAATGATAGTTTCTTAAAGATCAGCTACAATATGAAATCTAAAACCACATTGATGATTTTTTTCCATGTTCTTTTATCTTGGGTTCTGTGGCATTCTTTGGGGGCAGCCATTCTGGGTCACAAGTGTTTTAGGAGAAAGGGGAGGTCTCCTGGCAGGAGAGGTCCAATTCTAGAAAGCAGGAAGCTCTTACCGCAGACAGGTAACTAACTGGAAATCCTATGAACTATGCAGGGGGATAATGAGCCTTGTTGGGAAGAAGAAAGAACTCCCCCAGGGAACTGGTTTAGCACAGAAGTGAGAGGAGCAACCCTACAAGGCAGGAAGGGCAGTGTGGAGGGAGAGACAGAGAGAACTGGGGCCAGAAACCGGAGAGCAGGGAAGCTGGCTCTGAGGGGAAGGTTATGAGTGATGCTTCAGGGCAGGGTGACTCATGGTCACATCTGGCCTTGTGATGTTGCTTCAGGCAGGACTACTCTTATGCCACCCGGGCATATATGAATCTCACCCCGTTTTCCCCCAAATATGAGATATTTCTAAAACAATTCTTTTTTTTTCATTCTAGTTTTGGGTCCTCCTGGGTACCATGTTCTACTGGAGCAGAATTGAATATTGAGCCCAAGTGTTACCCACCATACCTCTCACCCTACTGACGCTGGATTTGGTGCTGGAACCTCCCCTGACCTAACATTCCTCATTTGGGCTGCACAGTAACCTGAGCAGGACTCCCTCAACTTTCCCAGGCAGATGGTATGCACCTCCTTAGGCTCTCAGTCTCCTGAAATTCTCCTAACTCATGTTCTTCACCCTGGTCTAGAATTCTGCAACTTTTTTTTTATTTTTTTTTATTTTTATTATTTTTTTTTATTTTTTGACAGGCAGAGTGGACAGTGAGAGAGAGAGACAGAGAGAAAGGTCTTCCTTTGCCGTTGGTTCACCCTCCAATGGCCGCCGCGGCCAGTGCGCTGCGGCCGGCGCACCGCGCTGATCCGATGGCAGGAGCCAGGAGCCAGGTGCTTTTCCTGGTCTCCCATGGGGTGCAGGGCCCAAGCACCTGGGCCATCCTCCACTGCACTCCCGGGCCACAGCAGAGAGCTGGCCTGGAAGAGGGGCAACCGGGACAGAATCCGGCGCCCCAACCGGGACTAGAACCCGGTGTGCCGGCGCCGCTAGGCGGAGGATTAGCCTAGTGAGCCGCGGCGCCGGCCGAATTCTGCAACATTTTTATAGACAGAACGGGTAAAGTAGATAATAACTCCTCCCATCCCAGTTTATTTTGGAGATATAAAGACATCCAAAGGCATCTGCGTCATCATGATAAGCCAGGAATATATTTGGATAGCAAATTTTCCTGTATTTCTCACTGGTTTCTAAAATAAACCTTCCAGGACTTCCCTTGATCTCAGCACTGACAGGTGTGATAAGTAAAGCAATGACGGCTGCAGTGTATCTTTCGTCTCTTGTTCTACAGAGGCTGCTGCCTTTAGAGACCTGGTCATGTCTCTTGATGTCACCTTTGCATTCTTTTATTCTCTAGAACAATCCCCCACCTTGAGCTAACAATGGTTCAAATTTCCTCCCATAGCTGGCAGAGTGATATGCGTGTAATAATCTCAGTTCTCCAAATGCAGACTGTGGAGACAAAGAAGATTCCTGTTATATATTTACTCAGACTTCGCTCTGAATGTCCCAACTCACAGCTCCTTTCAAACAGGATAGAAGCAAGCTGGCTATTAGAAAGGGTGGTTTATGGGAATCGTTGTTTCTGTCAAAATATTTCTGTTTCCATTTGTAGCCCTGAAGGAAGTTCTTACAACACAACATTTTTGGGTCCGATCTTATAAATAAAGAAGGCTCTAAAATATGACCGCTTCCTTTCATTTTTACCAGCATCATAATTGGCCATGTACAAGTCTACCAAAGTGGGTTTTCCAATAGGAGAGCCTCATTCGTGGGACTGAGCGGAGGAACTGTGCACACAGGGTGTGAAGCCCCCGTCCCTGCTCTACAGTGAAACCTTTGGGCTTCTATGTTGCCTTTTACCCTTGCTCCTCCTAGACTTAACCTGGGAAGTGGTAATGGAGCAAATGCACTTCTGATCTTCTTTCTTCTGAACTTGGAAGCCATGGAAGCATCACCAACTCCAACTCCAACTGCCAAGCTGCAGCTCTTACTAAGAAAATGGACCTGTCTCTCGGAATCCCATTCCCAACCACTGCACACCCCTGCTGGGTTCCTGAGTCAGGCTGAGCGCTGGGGCTAGGGATAGGTAAGGGGAGAGTGGAGGGCACGCTTCTCAGGTGCACCTGGTGGTAAACCTGGGGCAGGAGCCTGATTCTGGGCAGAGAGCCAAAGGTTGACTCCTCCCCTGACTTCCTGTCTCTCTCTCCAGGACAACGGTATCTCAGGTAACAAGATACAGTGCACCTGCATTTGGCTGACGTTCTCTGTGGTCTTCTGCAGGAGGTTACTGTGGGCAAAGGTTTCGTCTCCCTCTCTACACTGTGGGTGCCTTTTGCTTCCACCATTCTCAAGGTCTCCTTGTGCTCGCCGCTGGCTGAGAATTCCTGCCCTAAACCCTGTCCTGCCTTCCCTCCCGGGCCTTCATGCACCAAAATGCTCTCTACAGAATTCCCTTTCCCCTGTGAGTGGATCTCAGCTAGGGCAAAGGAAAGCCTTTGGAAAAATTCATTCATATGGTGGAGTGAGTGATAACCAGTCCCCATCCCTCAGTCTCTCAGGTGTTTTCCTGATCACTGGAATTGGCCTCTAGTGGGTGGATCCAGGGCAGCAACTGGAATAGGAAAGAGCCCTCCCTTCACACACCTCCACTGTAACTAGGATGAGAAAGGGCATTCAGCTAACCACTGTCCCCCGCCCCACCTCTACGGAGCTTCCTACCTGGAGCCCCAGTCTCAGCCAGCAGCAGGTGCACATCCCACTCTGGATGGAGACGGGCTCAGTCCTCCCACAACCAAATCATGCCCTGGACATAGGCACCCTCTATGACCAGACCCCAGCACTTGGAAAGGACACGCCTTTCAGCTGGGACAAAAAGAGACACCTGCGGATTCCCCTGCAGAAAGACCACTCTCAGGACTTCTGCGCTCCGCGCTACAGAGGTCTTCATTTAATCTCAGCGCAGCTTCTGTTCCGCCCAGTGCCTGCTTCCTGCTTCCACTCCCTTCTGCCTGCTGGCTCCGCGACTGGCAGCAGGGCTCCTGTAACCCGGGGCGCTGCAAGCCACTGCTGGGGAACGCCCTCGCCCGGCGCCCTCCACACCCGAAGAAGGGACGGACAGGGGGAAGGAGTGGCCTGAGGAGCTGGCAGTTTGCTGGGCTTGACCGCGGGCCCAGCCAAGGCCGCCTTGTGAAACCTCCCCCTTCAACAGTCAGCCTGCTGGTTCGGCGGGCAAAGAACAATTCCCACCTAACCCAGAAACGTGCCCCCGATGGATCGTCCCGCGCTCTGGGATGGCCACGTCCCTCGCAGATGCCCGCTCAGGGCCCTGGCAGGCAGCATTGGGGAGCCTCCGCGGCTCCTACTCATCAGCCCAGTCACTTTCCCCTCCCCCTCCCTCCCCGCCACAGATCAGCTAAACAAACAGGAACTGCTTCTCTTTCAAGCAATAAAGCCAATACTTTGTGGCTTCCCATTAAGAAAATGATGGTCATGTGACTTGAAAGTGCAATCTCCCGTCACCCTCACCCTCTTACCCAACCATCTGGTCAGCTAAAGGGGCTATGCTTGGAGAATTGGGAGCTGGGCCGCTTTTGCATTTCTATAAACTGAAAACAATTTCTTTGTTCTTCCGCATGTAGTTATTTCCTCGGGGTTCTCTTCCTTGTCTCACCTCACTCAGATTCTTCTCAGCTCCTGTCAGCTAGACTAAATCAAAGCAAGCCACAGGAGGCTGGCTGTAGGCTATCGGGTTGATTTTGCCTGTGATGTTTTTATAATAAGGTTCACCTGGCCCCATCCAATGCAGAGATCTGAAAACATCCTGGAGAGGAGGAGGATTGCTGAGAAACACTGCTCCAACCTTCTCCAGTCACCCCCTCTCCAGCACACACTCTCTACCCCCATATGCAAGTCTTCAGGGGACAGTCACATCCTGGGTCTAAAGAGAAATGGTGCAGACAGGCACTACTTTTTCTAGTGGTCTCTACCACCAGCTCCCAGAGGAGGGGAACCAGCACAGCCCTGACGTCCACAAGGTGGCCTGGCATCAGGACTAGCCTCTGCTCTTCTCTTGTTACACAGAAACCCAACCACAGCTGAGGTCACTGTGAGGCCACAGTAAAATGAGGCAAAGCAAGGTCACTTCATCCTTAGTTTCACACGAAAACAAGGTCACTGTGCCACCTGCAAAATACAAACACCTCCTTTCTCGGCTGAGACAAGCAACAGCTGTCTTACCAGTTACACACATTTACTCTGCTAGTCTCCTCCCTAGAAATTCTACTGAGCTACACAAAGACAGGTCCCCACCTTCCGACACCATCCAAAACAGATCAAACCCAGCTTTTTTAGACCCTCCCCAAAGGGCCCAACCAAAGCCCAATTGCTATATTAGGTTCTATTAGTGACTTCCTTCCATGGAGCCACTTCACGGTTCTCCACCGGGGGTTCTTGCTCTCTGAAAAGGGTACAATTCCCCTTTTTTCCCACAATGGATCTCCAGAACTGATTCCTCTTGACTGCAGTCCGTATCCTTTGATGAGCACGTAACCCAATTTATTTACCTGCCGATGCATTCCAGGGGTTTTGTGCTTGAAAGGCCTTGACATTTTGCAAATAACTCTGCCCATCCACATTTCCTCTATTCATTAGCTTATTCATTTATCTGGTACCACAAAGTCACTACAAAGACAATGCTTGGAGTCAAATGCTTACCTCCAAATCCCAGCTCTGCATGACTGTGACAAGTCACTCAGCTTCTAGGAGGGTCCCTCAGGAAGACAGCCTATCACCTCATCAGCACAGGTCAGCGAGGACTCAGTAAGAAATCTAAAGCGTGCATCAGAACAGCTAAGACTGTAGGAGACACCTAACAGAAAGTAACATCATACATCTGGTCTGAAGCTCTCAGCACGGCCCTTCATCCCCAGGAGCACACCAACTGATACTGTGTTGCTGCGATTTCTTGCAATGAGCTTGATCACTGAATTTATTGGTCCAAATTTACTGGCCATCAAACAATAGCTATCAGTTGATATCTGTCCTGTAAAACTCCTACTTGGTAGCAGGAGAATGTATTCTATGAGAGCAGCCCAGTGCGGGCCACACGGTGGTGATGGTCTTGAAGGTGGAAGACCTGAGCTTGACCCCGACTCTGCCATTTTCAAGCCGTGTGATTTCTGGACCCCCACTCCTCATCTGCAGCAGCAATGAAGTGTGTGTGCAAACACCACAAACCTACTCTAAAGCACTATAAAAACGAAGGGCCGGTGAGAAAAAAATCAATAAAACCTTCACAAGAGCACACTCTGGGACAGGGATCTGTGACGGCCAAATAGTCCGCACCCATATAATCCTGACCAGTTCACAGTAGGCATAATCCTCTCCACAGTATCCAAAACTCTTGGCCTCTTGATGGCAAATGACTGTTCAGAAACACCCAGGGAAGGAACTGGGGTGGGGTGGGGGACTCTGGCTCCTCTGAAGCGAACTCCCCAGCCCGGCTGTGACATGAAAGGGAGAGTGGTAGCAATCAGCAAGTGGGCAGTGCCCACCCAGTCACTGTGCCTGAGCTCCCAATGCAGGTCAAGTGGCACAAGGGTCGCCTAAAGGTCTCCTGGGGCTGGCACTGTGGTACAGCCGGTTAAGCCACCACCTGTGATGCCGGCATCCCATATGAGTTCCAGTTCAAGTCCCAGCTGCTCCACTTCCAAGCCAGCTCCCTGCTAAATGCACCTGGGAAAGCAGAAGATGGCCCAAATCCTTGGGCCTCTGCCACCCACATGGGAGACTTGGATGGGCATTTCAGTTTCCTGGCTTCAGCCTGGTCCAGTCCTGGGTGTTGCAGCCATTTGTGGAATGAACAAGCAGATGGAAGATTCTCTGTTTCTGGCTCTCCCTCCCTCCCTCTGTAACTCTACCTTTCAAGTAATAAATCTTTTTTTAAAAAAATCATCCTCCTAGGCCTTAGGTGTTAAGATACCAAATAAGATGCCCACTTCTCATGCCAGAGTACCTAGATTCAATACCCAGCTCCAGTTCTTATTTATTTGAGAGGTAGACTTACAGAGACAGAAAGGACTTCCACCCACTGACTGACTCCCCCAAATGGCCACAATGGCTGGAGCTGGGCCAATCTGAAGCCAGAAGCCAGGAGCTTATTCTGGGTCTCCTAGGTGGGTGCAGGGACCCAAGCAATTGGGCCATCTCCCACTGCTTTCCCAGGCCACAGCAGAGAATTGGATTGGAAGAGGAGCAACTGGGACTTGAACTGGTACCTATATGGGCTGCCAGTGCCACAGGCAGAGGCTTGGCCTACTATGCCACAGCACCAGCCCCCAAGCTCCAGTTCTTGTGTTCAGCTTCCTACTAACACGCAACCTGGAAGACAGCAGGTAATGGCTCAAGTAATTGGGTTCTTGCCACCCACATGAAAGACCTGGATTCAGTTCCCAGCTCCCAGCTTTGGCACGGCTCAGTCCTGGTCTTTGCGGGCATTTGGGGAGTGAACATGTAGTTGGGAACACCGTCTCACACTCACTCTGTGCCTTTCAAAATAAATACAGAAAAAAAAAACACACTTTGTAAAACAAAGCAAAAAACTATCTTCAGCTTGAAGAAGTTCCACAAGAGGTCCTTGAAATGACTCATACACTATTTTGATAGAAATATGTGAAGAGCAGTAAAGGCAGAGAGTCAATGGCTTCCAATTTTTTTTAATGCAGATGCCTTGCTAATAGTAGGAAAAAATGCAGGGAGTGCCCACACGGTACTGGCTATATTGTTTCCACTGAGTTGTCAAATATGGGTCCTCAAGTTCCCTGCACATGCCAGTGTGTTCCATTACCTCCCCAACCATGAC